AAAAAAAAAGAAAAGAAAAAGGAAACTATTCCAGGATTCCGGAATTTGATGAAGCCTGAACTTTTTAAAAATTTCCATAAATATTCCTTTGGTGTGGGCATTACGATAAAATTCCATCCTTTGTCCTTGGGAATGCCTGTTTATTTATCCATCAAAAATGGGAGTAGAACAATACAGAACATTTCTTACAATCCCAGGGGAACTCCTGACATTCCATATAAAAAAAAAAGGAGAGTGAAGGAAATAAAATAAAAATCAATGCATCCCATTGTGCTTCCTGGAAAAATATGGTGGGAACTGGGTAAATACCAAAAAAAATTGTCTGGAGCAGCCTCAGAGTGGAATCCCTGGAGATCTCCAGGGCCATGGATCCACTCRGAACATTTGAGGCATTTTGGGATAACGGAAGGGGCCCTGCCCATGGATGAGGCTGCAATGGGATGGGATTTAAGGTCCTTCCAACCCCAACCATTCCATGATTCCATGCAATGCATCAGGTCTATGTTCCCAAGGCAAAGGCAGGATGTCCGTCTCCAGTGTTCCTCATCCCACACTAGAGGGAGATCAAACCACATTTTTCCAGCAAATTCCACTTTTCTCCCTGCAAATCCAATTTTTTCCCAGCAAATCCCACTTCTTTACCCAGCAAATCCCACACTTTTCCCAACAAATCCCACATTTTCTCCCAGCAAACCCCACATTTTCCCAACAAATCTCACTTTTATTCCCCAGTAAATCCCTGGTGTTTAAACCTCCCACACCCCCCAAAAAAAAAAAAAAAAAAAAAAAAAATCCAGGTTTAATTCCAAGAAACAAGGGAAATAAAATCTTTGGATAAACTCCTTTGGCTCATCCCAAACCTCAGCACAAATTCCCATTTTTCTTGTGACCCAGGCAAAGCAGCTTTAATTCCCGGAGCCAATTCCCAAAGGAAAACTTTTCCTGCTCCAAAACTTCCTAAAACGGGGAAATCCAACCAAAAAGGAGATCTTCCTCTTTTCCACATGGAGAAAACCCATGGAAAGCAGGATTGGAGGAACAAGAATTTGGGATTCATTTCCCATTCCCTGTGGGGTCAAACTGGAAAAGCTCAGCTGGAAAAGCCTCGGCCACTTTTATGGCGAAGAAGAAATGAGGGATTGAACATTTTGGTGGGATTTCAGCTGAGCATAAATCTTTATTCCTGCTGGGATATTTTATCACTGTTATATCCCTGTCCAAAAGCATAAAAACCTGGGGAAAAAGCACCTAAAATCATAAAAAAAAAACCTGCAAAAACTGAAAAAAAAATCATAAAAATCTGGGGAAAAAACCCATAAAATCATGAAAATCTGGAAAAAAACCCACATAAAAATCATAAAAACTCAGAAAAAAATCACCAAAAAAAAATCATAAAAAACTGGGAAAACTGCAAAAAATCATAAAAATCTGGGAAAACCACATGAAATCATAAAAGCTTGGAAATAACACCTAAAATCATAAAAACCTGGGRAAAAAACCCACCTAAAATCTTAAAAACCTGGGGGAAAAAAACTACCTAAAATAATTTTAAAAAATCTGGAAAAAATACAAAAAAAGTAACCTGGGGG